TCTGGGCTTGGGGAAGCACTTCCTCCTTCTGCAAAAATTTGAATGATGTTGGAGAGCACCCAGATGATCTGAGGACGTGCAAGAGTCTGGGTAGGTTGATGACTAAACGTGCTGCATCACCCCCCTAATCAGTGTCGTATTATCAGCTCTTAGTATTATCAGCTCTTATCACAGGCCCAGGTTGCCTTGGTAACTGCCCAGGTGTCCAGAGGCCTGGTCCATCCCAGTGTTTGCTCTAGGTACATCCACCGGCCCTGCCTCCAGGTGATTGAGGCCATGCTGGTGGCCGCTGTTACAGCCACTGTCGCCTTTGTGCTGATCTACTCGTCCCGGGACTGCCAGCCCCTGCAAGGCAACTCCGTGTCCTACCCCCTCCAGGTAGGAGGTTGGGCCACCAGGCAGGGGGCAGGGCAGGCCTCTGAGGAGGAGCACTCGCTCCCCAGTCCCGCCAGGAGAGCTGGTAGCACAGCGGGACTCGGAGCTCTGGGCAGCACAGGCTGGTGTGTCCTCAGAGGGTCGGGCAGGCTGCTGGGTGTCGGGAAAGCTGGTGGTCTTTCCGGCTGGAGTCTCCCGGCCCTCCTCCCAGAATGTGGCCTGACAAGGACCGAGGAGGACTTCAGAAGTGGGGGCTGTGGGTACGGACCCGAGAAACGCAGCCTGCCTCCCCTCGAGGCAGCAGCCCGACCTCCTCCTGCCACGTGGTTAGCGCTTGATGCTGGGCAGGACTGCCCCATCCCACTGGCCCGTCCTCTCTCCCAACCTTGCAGCTCTTCTGTGCAGATGGCGAGTACAACTCCATGGCTGCCGCCTTCTTTAACACCCCGGAGAAGAGCGTGGTCGGCCTTTTCCACGACCCCCCAGGTGTGTGCCTGTGCTCGGCGCTGTCAGATGCACATCGCCACGGGGCCCTGCCCCTCTGCAACAACCCACAGACACTGGGCACAGAAGCCAGAGTAGATGGCGTCAGACTTCCATGGTGCTACTCCCTGGTGCTGCTCTAGCGTCATCTCGCCCCTTAGGACCCTCAGGCTGTCTCTGGTGGTATTCTGTCACAAATAAGACTGCTGGGACTTTTCCGGTCCTTATGCACGTGACAGGAATCCACACATTTAACAGAGAAGCATTTACATGTGGGGAAAGGCCACGCCCTTTCTAGAAAGTGCTGAGTGAAGCCAGCAGTTGGCACCAGGCCTCCTGACATGCTGGTCCGGGGTTTCTGGAAGTTACCTAGTGTGGAATGTGGCTGGTGGCCTTCTCCCCTGACCCCCGTGGTGCCAGCTGTTTGCACACCGATTTCAATGGTCACCTTCTCGGCCTCAGGTCACTGTCCTGCTGGCTGCACTGGGCCCCACTTGCCCTGGCTCCCTCCATCCCCGGGCAGGGCAACCATCCTCCTGCCTCTAAGGACCCAGCCCCCAAAACCCCACGCTCTGGCCTCTGAAAATGGGGACACTTCGGGGGCTCGCGGGAGTGTCTAGGGGTCAGGATATGACCTGGAGGTGCTGACTGGTCAGCCTCTCTCTACTAGGCTCCTACAACCCTATGACCCTTGGCCTCTTCACTCTCGTCTACTTTTTCCTGGCCTGCTGGACCTATGGGCTGACAGTGTCTGCTGGCGTCTTCATCCCGTCCCTGCTCATTGGGGCTGCCTGGGGTCGGCTCTTCGGCATCTCACTGTCCTACCTCACCGGGGCCGCAGTAAGTGGGGTCTCCATGCACCAAGCACGCGGAACCAGAGCTGGGCTGGAGGGAAGGGGCAGTTCTGGTGCTCCAGCCTCGGGGCCACTGTGAGTGAGGGCAGTGGGCTCCCAGTGCGGTGGTCAGCGCCTCAGAGCCTCTGGTCATTTTACATGGCCGTAGTTTTCTGGCTGCTGCTGTTCGATAGGAACATGCCATTAATGTAGCCGTCCATGTGTGTGGTCCAGAGACAATGTCGGGGGGAGACGCTCAATGGTTATCAGTGAGCGAAGGTGACATGGAAGGATTGGGCGCCCAGGCTGCGGACACTGGTGACTGGCTCTGTGTGTGACAGGCCTTGCCCTGCGCCCCGCAGCCTCCCTGGCCTCCCTCTCCACCTGCCACCATGGACACCATGATTTTAATGTTACGTGCAGTCCTTTTTTTTAACGTTAGTTATTCAAATAAGGGTTTTTTAAAAACTAAACAGAGCAGGCGAGTCTCTCCCGCACTGTCCCACCACCCACTCCCCTTGCCAGACGTGGGACAGGCTTTCCTCGGGTCTCAGGTTTCCTCCCGGACACAATGTTTTGTGGTTTTTAATTGCAACATGATTCACATACCATACACCCACCCTTTAAAAGTACAATCCAGTGGTTCTATGGTGTGTTCAGAGTGTAACCGTTGTTACTGTGTCGGTTCAGGACATTCTCATTACCCCAAAAAGAAGTCTGTCCCCCAGCATTCACTCCCATGCCCCTCAGCCCTTGGCAGCGCCATCTGCATTCTGTCTCAGAGGCCTTGCCTGTTCTGCCCGCTTTATGTGAGTGGGTCACACACCAGGCGCCATCCGTGCTGGCTTCCCTCACTGAGCGTGCAGCTTTCAGGGCTCATCTGTGTGGTAGCACGTGTTGGATTGTCACTCCCTCGTCGTGCGGGGCAGGCATTTCTGCAGAGGACAGTCACTGCACATGTGGTGTTGGCCTCTGTCCCTGCACACACCTGTAGCTCTGCCTCCTCCACATGCAGAGTGTCCTCCTGCCTCGTGCTGCCGGGTTCTCCGGCTTATGCCGACGGCGTGATTCATGCAGGGCGTCCTGGATTGGGCCACTCCGTGGGTATTTCCAGGCTTTGTGTTACTGAGGAGGAGCAGGCTGTTTGCACATGTGCTTAAGCTCTCCTGGATGTGACATTGCTGAGCCCAGGCAGCCTCGTGCATCTTGGTGGGTTTGGGTAGAGGGTGCCACCCCCAACACCACCTCTGTGTCATCCCCACAGATCTGGGCAGACCCCGGCAAGTACGCCCTGATGGGAGCAGCTGCCCAACTGGGTGAGTCCTGTCTGCCACGTGGGCAACCCAAGGTCAGGAGGGGCAGGTACCTCATGGAGCTCGAAGGC